CCCCCCCCCCCCCCCCCCCCAACCACACCCAGGCTAGCGGCATTGCGGCCATCCGCAACCTGCTGCGTGTCTCTCCGGAGTCGGTGGCGGGAGAGGTCCTAGAGGAGACGGGCACTGAAGGCCTCCTGGAGCTGCGGCGGCTTGTGGGTGCCCCCGGCGAGCCCTGGTCCTCGGCGGCGGCGAGAGCGGCGGCAGCGGCTAGCGACAGGCTGGACGCGATGAGGCTGCAGGTGTGTGTTTGTGTGTGTGTGTGTGTTTTTTTTTTTTTTTACGAGCATTGACCGCGATGCCCGGCTGACCAACGAAGAGACGTCAATCTCAGTGCGGCTGAAAACCAAAAAAAAAAATTTAAGTGTCATTAACTGGGACCCCGTGAGGGGGCGGCATGGGGAAGGCTAAGCTCTATGTTTGTGTGTGTGTTTGGTATTGGCATTGACCGCGCTAACCGGCTAACCAATTGATAGAAAAGACGCCAGTACTGAAGCGGGATAAAAAACGTGTGTGTGGGTGTGTGAGATGTTATTGAAATCGACCGCGCTGACCTGCTGACCAATGAATTCGTCAGTCTCAGAGCGGTTGAAATGCTCAACACGGTGATGTGAGTTGGTGTGTGTGCGGGAACATGTTTGAGCGTCGTCCTTGATTGACTAATTACAGAAGGCGCTATGTATCATTTCAAAGAACCTCTTGTTTTGGCGCAATTCGCTCGTTTATTATTTTCTTTTTTTTGTCGGGGGTCTCCCAACATTGATTGCGTAGGATTTTCGTGCGGAATTCTGAACCGAGCACCTGTTGCTACGGTCAACTTTTCCAAGGGTTTTACTTGATTTTGTTGTTTTTGTCTGAGTTTCTTGACCCCTAGGTTCAGAAGTGGTGGGGCCTGCTGTACTGCTTTTGCTGCTGCTGCCTTTTGATTTGATTGTGTGTGTGTGTCTTTTTTATTAGCATCGGGCGCGCTAACGAACTGACCGATGAAGATACGCCAGTCTTGTCGCGGGATAAAGCCCTGGTGTGTGTTTGCGTTAAACTTGCTTTCATGTTTTCGGGCGGCTTGCCTCGCTCGGGTGCTGTTCCCAGAGGTACGCGTCCCCAAGCTCGTTTTCTCCGAATGGGTATAGAGAAAGCCCGCCGCCTGTTTGGTCGAGACAACGTGGGCTGCCTCATTCGGGGGGCTGGGCTACGGTAACCTTTGTAACATTTCCGTTGCTTCGCGTCACGCTGTCCCTACGAAGTGACGACGCACTGAAATATCCCTTTGTAGCAAAGCATGTATCTTTGCCCCAACCTTACTGTTTCTGCCCGCCCCCCCCCCCCCCCCCCCCCCCCCCCCCCCCCCCCCCCCCCCCCCCCCCCCCCCCCCCCCCCCCCC